AGATGTGCCACACACTCATTGCTGGGGGGAAATAAAAATAGGAAAAAAAAAAAAAAAAAAAAGAAAGCCCAAACAATTTTATAAATGTTCTATAGGGAGTCTGAATGGTTTTTTTTGGTTTTTTTTTTTTAATTTGGTCTATATTTTTTTAACACCGCCCTTTAGGGAGGCATGTGCTGCAATCATTATCAGTTCATCCATACACAAAGCACACAAAGGTATAGTCCCCCTCAAGTGTTGACCTTAAATTGTCTTTCTCTACATAGAAATGTCATGATCTTCATGAAGAAAACCTTTCTGCTTATTTATGTAATTAAAAAACATGGTCTAACACACACAAATATACAGCAAATGCAAGTGGTACTAATATTTGACATAATCTTGTAAGGAATTGCTGAAGCATATGCTAAAATGAATTCATCACCCCCCCCTAGTTTATCACAAACCTGTGACTGTTTTGTTTGCACTCTGCTTAATGGTCCATCTTTCTCAGGACAACATATGTTACAAATCTCTGTAATTTCATGCTCTTACCTTGCAGACCATGCCTAAAGAAAAGGAAAAAAATAAGAAAAATGAAGCATTTTCTCCTTTCTTTTAAATGTAGCTCTCGTCTAAGTGCTCGGACAGGCACTGTCAGCTCTGAAAATTCAAGATTAATCAAGCAATTAAGAATTGATATCTAGTGACTTATAATAACTGGAAATGAGAGATGCTGGATTTATTTTTGCTCAGCAAGAACCCAAAATAGCTAACCTGATTTTTATGGACAGCAAGATTTTAAATATTTGGGGAGAACAGTTACAATTTCTTCTATTAAAGTGGTTCCTTCAGAACCTCCATCTACCTTCTGCACATTCTTTAGCAAAAGGCCAGTCTGTATAGAGGGCCATGCTGGAAGAGCAGCTTATTTCAGATTCACACCCTGCCTTTACATGAATGAGTCTGAAAGTGTACAGAAATTCTAAGAACAGGAGTCAAGATGAAGTTTTGCTTTCTCTCCGCCATGTGCCAGCACAGCATTGCACTGCTTGAATAAACAAACCAACTGAGCCGGAATTACATCACTTCAAAACTGTGGTTTCCTTTAGACATTAAAAAGAATGGCAAGAATTTCCATTCACATAATTATCAGCATTATCACCTCTCCTCACACCTCCTCCTCCAGCATCTAACTGTTGTTATGGTAGGGACTTCCCTGCCTCCCTTCCTTGGGAGTGGAGAGAGCCTTTGCAACTCAGCTGCAGTCATTTGCTTTCCTCTCCATGAGCTCAGGAACTTCTTCAGCAATCAGAAAGACTTCATGGGTCGGATGAGCAATAACTCAGCACATTCCCTCTGTAAACATTTATTTGGAGAATTGGGGCATATGTATTTGGACTCTCTATGGTAATTTGAATCTCAGCTTTCCTTATTGCCAAAATGGTGGATGCCTCTGTAAAAGAGAGGAGTAACTTCTGCCGCTTTGCTACCTCAGCTAGGCAGATGCAAGTGTTATTGATACCTGCATGAGAAATCAAAAATGAAAAGCGAAGTGCTCCAGAACCCAGTGCTGGTGACTCAGGAAGAAACTTTCTTTTTCCCAAAACTGTAAGTAGCTCAGCAGCTCTTACTTACCCTGCTACTGGCTTCTTCCTGGACAACCTGATAGAATTAAGAGCACAGAAACCTGAATTCTGTTCCTAGCTTCACCTCTGATTCTCTGCATCAGTCTTGGAAAAGTTATTTAAGCTCCTAAGCCTCCATTTTTTCCATGCATGAGGCTGAAATGACATACTGAGCCTTGCAAGAACTTCTGAAACCTCTGATTTTAATAGCACATGTCAGTGCCAAAAGCACCATTATGGGCATTACAGCACTAATTCTCTCACAAGAGAGGGAAGCTCACTGTGCCACAGGTATTTTGGTTACAATTATTACCCCTGGAAGTGCTCAGATATCATTGCACAAAATTGTAGGCAGATGAATCTTTCAGATGGGATAGAAACCAGAGGCCCTGACAGGTTATTAAAAGACATAACGTTTTGAAGAAGCCCATATGTTAGCTTTTTCATGTTCACCCTGTTCCAATTTGGATAATTACATTCTAACTCCTTAAAGCAGGGTGGCTGACCTACCTGGCCCTACCAGCTGTATATCCAAATCTTCATGTGGCCCAGAGCGATACAATACAATGCACATATTTCAAAAAGCTGAAGAAAAAGAGGAGCTCTAGGAGATGCTCATCAGCTAGTGAGAAAGATTTCCTCCTGGAACCTGAGCCCTCCCCTCCTGCTGAAACAGTCCTCCCCTCAGAAGCAGCTTCTCCTCTGTGTCACTTCCCACAGGAGCCTGCCTGCTATTGTCAGGGCACCATCACACTTTGTCCCCAGGCAGCTGTGTAGTGGCAGCTCTGTGATGCACAGATGCTGTGAACATTGAAGATTCACAGCTCGCAACACATTCCAGCAGTTTACAGGCCTAGTTATTAATAGTGAAGGACCTAGTGACATACTAGTTACTAATAGTAATCTGCATTTCTGCTTTATCGTTAAGAAAGAAAAACATTTCATCCCTCACAGTAAGTAGAGCCTGGCTTGCCCGAGAATCAAGCAAGAGAAGGCACTGAAGGTTCACTTTCTTCTCTTCTCTTGGAGATCACTGGTGCTGTCTGAGCTGCTCCTTTTTCCTGTACAAACTCTCAACAGTAATTCACTGTGCATCGCAAATCTTCACCACCACAGAATCCCAAACCACAGGAAGAGCAATATCTGAGCCTTCATCAATTTCCTGACAAAGAAGAGAAGCAGCATATGGTGCAAAGGATTTTTTTTTCACCACAGACACACAGTAAATTTTCCCAAACCCAAGATAAGATGCCATTTCCAAATGGTGAAAGAAAGCGGTGGCAATTTCAAGCAGCCCCAAACAGCTGGCTAATTTTGCATTTCAGATGCCACTCTGACCCAGTGATGGTGTCAGCAGCAGCTCTCTTGTCCCTTGCGTGGGCCAAGACATTGGTATCTGATGAAGCAATTGCTCCAGACATCATGGATGCAAACGAGGGGAGCCTGTCCTATCCCCATCTCTTCACAGGTGCTGGTGGCACCTGGGCCATGGTGCAGACCTTTGAGGTGTGTCAGAGTCACCAGCCCCAGGGGTAGATGACAGTCACAGCCAGGGATGTTCTGCATGGCTGTAGCTGCCCACCTCTGGGGAGTCTGTGGTCTGGGGGTCACCAAAGAAGTTGGCGGGGGCATATGGGCACGCAGGGGACAGGAGAGAGAGCAGAGAGGACCTAGGGCACCATCTGGTGGCTTCACTCACTGCCTTCCCTAAATCCTTGTCTCAGGGGGTCATAATATAGCATAGCCAAGGGCTGAAAGAACACCAAGTCTTACCAAGAGCCAGCCCAGCTGAAACAAGAGACCCCTGCCCTTGGCCCAGACTCGCACATCTGTAGGGCACTGCTGGGTAGGACAGCAGTGCAAACTAGAGCCATAGTAACCATTTTTCTTGGGTGCTGTTCAGTCAAGCGCTTCCCTTGATAAAGAACCAGCCCCAGCTGGGTATTTAGAGATAATTCGCAGTAGAGACACCCCTGAGAAGGCTAAGGAAGAGAAGACAGTAGTGATGAAGGTGAACACTTTGGACATGTGTTTCACTAGCGTTATCCACTACTGTAAGGTCTTGTCTGCAGATAAAGGCAAAATATAGTTTGCCCTGCTTCGTGTGACAAAACTGTACCCATGCAAGAGCTTGTCCTCTGCAGAAAAAGATCAAATCAACAAACCTCTCAAGTGCACCCTGGTTTTTGCCTTATCAAATGAGGATTTGCTGTAAAGGATTTATGAAGGAGTCCATTTAAAGGGAATAGATGACCTCAGTGTCACCAACACCTTTTGTAGCAATGCACTCTCAGGACCAAAGGCTCAAAGGTCTGGTCAAGAGAGCAAAGGATCCTAGTCCTAACACAGCACCTCCTTTAGAGAAAGGCAGGCAGTGCATTTCCACCTCATACCATTGCTTACTTTGATACCAGGTCTCCGCTTCCCTGAAATCCTGGCAATAGAAAAGGATAATTCAACACCAGGGAACCAAAGGTTATACCACTATAACCAGGGAGCCTTCTCTGTGCATAACAGCACCATGCTGGGGGAAGCAAGTGGAGCTGAGGCCCTTAGAGACACAGTCTTTAAGAGGAATCCATTCTCACCATTCAGTTTAAAGCAAAATGTATAGGGTGAACACAATAAACCAGTCACCGCTTCTCATATTTGTGGAGCTGGTGAAACTGATCCATAATTTCTTTTTTTGTTTTGTTTTCCCAATTGCCTAACACTTAGAAATGAATACGTTTCCTCTTGCTAGCAACACTCATTTTTTGCACCTATTCTCATGGGCCACAGAGCCAGGTAAGACAAAAAGACCAAATGACAACAAGATCAAATGACTGCCTTTTCCCTGAACAAATCTCTGCCACAAAGTAGCTATACCAATATTATATAAATTATATTCCATAGTCTTTCCTACCTGTGCCTTCAGGCATTTCCTCATAGCACCCTGGAAAACTCCATACCATTTAAAAACATCCCTGCTCTCACAGCCTTCTGCTTTATGCTTTTCTCTCTCACACACACGCTGTTGCTGCCACAGCTGCCCATGCTGCATGATGCTAAAGAAGTGATTTTAGATTGTGGCTTCACAGTTTTAAACTTCCTATTTCTTGTGCAGCAGCCTTTTAGCCTTCCTCACAGGGCCAACTCAAAAGCCATTGAAATCAACACAGTGACCCCCATCCCGATTTTGATAGTTTGGCACAGAGCCCAAATCCCCACATTTGCTAGTGTTTCTTAGAATATTTTTACTTTTTCACTTAATTGATCAGAACCTGGTGGGATTCTTCCAGTACTTTAGCACTGACTGTTCTTTAATAGCATTTTCTGTTCCAAATGCTCTTCTTTCTCTCATGTTATATTTTAAACAGCTTCAGCTTTTTAATATATAGAATTGTTCAGGCATAAATGTAAGAAACATGCTACTTAAAAAGACAACAGAAACACAAGACAAATCAACTCATTGCAAAGAGATATCCTTGCCAGGAAATTTCCAGTAGCATCCAGTATTTTTAGCATTTATAAAATTTAAAAAACAAAACACAAAACCTAACCATCGTTATTTTGAAAGTTTTTACTTTTCATCTAATCCACTGGCATCTGCTGAATATTTTATTGCCATACTGCAACATATTTATAATTCATCTCATCATTTCTTCAAATTTGTTAAGGAAAGGAATTGTTATACCTGTACAATCCTCTGAAAATTCTTCTGTGAACACAAATATTTCCTGGTCATATTAGTAAAATATAAAACTTTTTACTTCAAAAATATTTATAATTGTTGTGATCACTTAACAAATTATAAATGAGTCTAATAAGCCATGCTGTTCATTCATTGCCTTTTCTGAAATGAATTCCTCAGCACTGGGAAGAGAAAAAGCATTTTTCTGTGGTTAAAGAAAGTCCAAATTGCATGTTTGAAATCTTTTCTAATAAAAAGAGCAAAGCAATAAGCGGATTATCTCTTTAAACATAGTATAGGAAGGTTGGAGGCCCCGGAGACATTTTCCATAGCCTCTATCTCTGATACATAGCAACATTATCTTCAGCTAGAGAGGGTCCTATGACCCTGGAGCTCAATTTTAATTTGATCTTCTTCTTTAAAGAGGTTTCTACGATTCCTCTCAAGTTATGCTGCATATTCTTATTTTGGGTTGGTTTTGTTTGGTTGTTATTTCATTGTTGTTTTTAATATGAGATAAAACAGCCTCAGCTTTTTGATCTGCTGGTTTGATCATGTTATACGGATATTTAATGTAACTTCTTCCCTATCAGAACCAGAATATGCATCAGCACAAATGGTAGGCAAGTTCCAGATGACAGGGGAGAAAGAATTTGGATAGTAAATTCACTTCTAAGGCCTCCTTCCTCCTTCCTCCAGTCATTCTAAGTTTCAGAACTGCTGTCCCTGGCCAATAACACATAATGGGGGAGTAAAGGAGCTTTACACTCTTTACAGCAGCCAGCTGAAACAAAGGCAAACCTATTGGTCTTGGTGGGGCAAAGGTACCATGCCTGCTCCCACAGAGGCTCAAAATCCCCAATGATAACAATGCCCATTGCCAAGATGAAAAGGAAACTGGGGAGCTCCCCTTGGATTTCTGCAGGCTGGAACCTGGCCCCAAACCCGCATGGCTTATGCAGCTCCAGCAAAGTAGTTTCCTCACATTCCCACCTCCTTGTTCCTCTCTCTTGCAGAATGGGCACTGTCACTGACACGTGTTGTTAGGAAGGGGTATTTTCTCTGTGTTCATTTTCTCCGCCTTTATCTCCGTCAGTGCATCCAGTCCTCACTGTGTACTGCTGATATTGCTGAAGGGGAAGCATTTTCTTGGAGGCACTGATTTGAGTCGCCTCAGTAAGGTCGCAGCAGGCATCTGTGACTACTTGATGGGATTAGCAGATTAGGAGAAATCGTGTTTGCTGTGGGGTTCCTGAGAAAGGGAAAATGGGCAGGTGGATGCTTGGATCTGGTTAAACTATGCATGAAGTCCTGATGGCCATTTCGGCAAAGCCACAAGAACAGATCAGACGGACGGCTGCAGGTCAGGATCGGAACATCAAGCCAGCAAGCAGGGAAGTAAATTTCTGGATTGTCCTACCACTTGCAGAGGATTTCAGACGGGGTAGGTGAGAGAAACCTTCACAGATTGCCCATTCCCAAGATAAGTGCTTGACAAAAGCAGCTTTTCTTTTGCTTCAAACAGTTTTGCTGCAAAATAGCTTTGCTGCATCAATGCAGACTGAGCCTCGAGGGATTTTTACAGACACATTCTGTTGTTAATGAAGGGCAGTTTAGAAGGGGCCAGGGGTTCACAGTTCCCTCGTGGTTGTGCTCTGAAGTCACTGTGGATCTCTGCATGTACCTGCATCTCATCTGGGATGTAAGAGATACATACAGAAAGATGTCTGGTCCACATAGGGTCAGGTATCTTCCCTGTTAGATATTCTCATACAATGTATCAGATGATTCTTCTAGAGTTTCTTGCTTCTTAGGTGTCTGCAGAATGATGGAAAAGGAGAAAAAAGAAATGGAGGAAAATTATTCAAAAGATGATGAATTAATTCTTAATCAGCAGACACTGACGTTTGTTCTGTTAGAAATGGCTGTAAGTGATCTGCTGAAGCAGAAGCCACTACAGTGAGAAATGCTGCTCCACCAGAGATGAACATGACTAATCCAGCCCAAGGGATAAAGATGCCTCCTTTACTAGTCACTCTTCCCCAAAAAAACTGTCAGACAGGGAGGGGAGGGAAAATTGGACTTGGTAAAAAAATAAATCACTTTGGATTCTGTGAAGGAGGAATTCCCTGACCTCCTCAATCCTGTTTCTTCAACAGTTGAGTCTATTCCTCACGACCGTTCCTTGTGTAGACAAGGCGCTGACAGACTGATATTTTAAGTGCTGTGTGGCACAGGCCTGCTGTAAGCAAGGTTACACAGCAAGTAGCTAAAATGCCACCGGCTGAACTAAGCCCTACCTACACTAGCATTTTCTCTGCTGCCACCAGCAAAGGGAAACACTACAAAAGTGCTGAGTGGAGGCACTTCCAAAGCGTGCAGGATTAACCCCTTGCTATCCAAACTGGCCGACGATCCATAGTGGCAGCTTGCAAATGCTCTTTTCAGAGCCTTTCTAGTCTGCTTCCCTTTACAGCTCTCCCTCAATTGTGCAGCATCCCACAGCAAGGGTTGAGCGGGACCCTCTGAAGCAGTCAGCCACTGTTCAGCAATCTCAGCTCCCACTCACAGGCTAAACCCACTGAACCACAAGTCTCACTCTTAGGGAGAACATTCTCTTATACTCTGGCAAAGACAGCTGGAGGACAAGTGTCTCAAGTGGTCACAGCCCAGGATGACTGAGAGAAGCTGATCTACGTGCTTGCAACCATAGGGGATAGTGCAAACTCTCCAGTGCTGAGCTCATGGGACCCTGCCACTCACACTTTCCTTCCTCCAGAGCAGCACAAGAACTGAGGACACTTGGAGCTGTCTGCTCTCAGTGTGAGAGTTCATCCCCTCTCTGCTTTCTTCTCCTTTCTTTCTCCCATCTCTGCTTTGACCTTTACCCTACCCTGGTTGAGACCGCCAGCACCAGACCCACTTACACACAGATGCTCCTCTGCTGTTGCTTTGTTGCTGCACTGTTTTACAGACTCTTTGACCATCCAAACAGCAGTTGAATGGTGTGGACCACACACAAGCAACTCAGCACAGCCCAGACAGCTCCCTGGTAGAGAAAAACCCCACACATACTTCATCTTACCATCCAGACAGAATCATTTCAAAGGGGACAGCTGGTAAAGGTATACAGAGAATAAACAGAATCAGAAAGAGGGACCCTGTCCAAGTAATTCAAAATGCAGCAAAACGCAAAATCAGTGATGCTGTCTTTTCCAGTGTGTCCTGGGGTGACATCATATAAAGCCAGCCTATATAGAACAACCCATCCTTCCCCTCAATAACCAGGAACCTGCCACTGCTTTTACTAACAACTCCATGGTGGTGTCACAGCAGTAACTGCAGGAGACCAGAGGCCATGGGCCCAGACTACATGACAAGTAGCTCTGACACAAAGGGGGCTGCTTGATTTTAGACCACCTTTTCCTAAAAGGTGGGAGTTGTGAAAATGTCCCAGACACTGGAAAATACTGTCCCTCATGAAAGAAAGGGCTGGTGCAACCAGGGAAACTCTCCACAACAGAGCATTAATGGGAGAAAGCAGCAGATGTTTTCAAGGAACATTTTCTAGCACTGGAAGGGGATATATTTTTTAAGCAGATAAGAGGTCAAAGAAGAAAAGAAAAATTAGGTTCTGAGGACAGGAAGGAAATGTTCCCTGGGGTGCCTGATGCAAGTTTTGTCCATATGAAACAGCTGGCGCCTGCCAAAGGCAGGGTAGAATGCTGTGTGGGCCTCTGATCTGCTTCATGTGGCCTCCACAATTAATTTATACCTGCATATTCATAGTTGCCTCTATTTTCACTGAGTGTATTTAGTTCCTTGTCCCTCACTCATAATTCTCAGCCCAACAAGAAGATCCAAGTCCAAAACATACCCACACTGCCTTTTTCTGGGCTCCAGAGCTGACAGCAGACACTGTATAAGCCCAGACTCTGCTCAAACCATCTTAGCTTCTGCTACCATGAAATGGCTCTCAGGTGCTTAATGCTGTGAGGGGAAAGTTGTGTTCAGGGTCTGCTGCTGGTGCAGAGATTTCTTCAGCCCAGAGGATGTCTCAGCTGCCTAAATAATCTGGAACAGGCAATAACAGGACCAGCACCTGCCCAACTCTTCATGAATGCCTGTCTTGTTCAGAGGGAGCGGTGATGCCAAACCCCTCAGTGCCTTTCAACATACATCATACAGCAAGGCATCTGCACACAGCCATGAGTGCCAGAACTGGCAGAGCTGCAGGAACCAGGGTTCTGCTGAAGAGAGAAGATAGGCTACATGTGCAGTCCAGCTGGTGAGTGCATGCCACATCCCGTTTTCTCCCTTTGGTGGGACTGGAGACACATTTACTGCCTGCTAGGTCATGAGATTGTGTGGGGTTTCTTTCCCCAGATGCCCAGGGCATATGGGAACTTTCCAAGAACACGGCCCTGGCCCTTACCTTCCCTGGAGGATTCTTTCTGTGTGATGGGTTGTTTGTTTTGTTCTCGAGGCTAGAATAGACATCAACTTGCTGCACATCCAGGCTCTGCACAAAGAAGAGAGAAGAAAGTAGGGGTCAAACAAAATACTTAGGTTTAAGATTACTAATTACACACTGGGTTGTTCCCCATCTCATGCCTGACATTTTTTAGGAACCCCTGCCATCTTCAAAATTTTGAAGTTCCTGACCTTAACTTGGCAAACAGAAAATCCTTTTCCCCTGAAATCCCCACAGTGCAGATGCATCATTTTCTTTTCTTCAGGCTTACAGAGACAGGCTTTGATGTTACCTACCCTGTGTAAGGCAGTGGAGAAGAATGCCAATGCCCCTGCCTCCCTTTGCTCCAAAATTGTCCCAGAATGCAAAGTGGTGCACCAGGGGGGAGCACAGGTAAGAGGCGTGCTCTGCATCACCCAAGACTGTTTGGGTGCCTGACAACCACAAGCTCTTGTTCATGATTATTCTGGGGACACAAAGGTGAGAAAATAGGAGACGCTGGGGGTCCTGAAGCACAGAGGCTGTTGAAAATGAACACTATTTCTCTTTATTGTTTGTTTGGCTTGTTTTTTTTCCAAGCCAGAACTCTCCTTTCTTCTTTGAGTGAGCAAAGAATTATAAAAAAATTCATATGCTCCCAGGCCCTCAAACATTACCATGGTCCCACTCAGCTACACAGAGAAACACACACACACCCTGCATGCATATACACCCGTTGTCCCCCAGGTAATCGTGTCACAGGAGATGCATGTCAGTTTGAGTGATATTCCAGATCTGCCTGAAGGATCAAACATAACAATCATGAGGACTTTTCCATGTGTGTTTCAAGGATGACAGCAGGTTGCCAAGGTGGCTGTTTCTCTGGCAACAGGAAGATGGGAGGAGCTCCGGCTGCAAGAGGGGCAGATGGTATTAGTGGAGAGAGCAAGGCGCCCTGTAATGCAGTGAGAAGGATGAGCAAAACATGGAGGCTTCATTGGGGGCTGCCAATCACTTGAACCTTCATAATTTCATGTGAAGTCGCAAACACCCAGCACCTCTAAAGATCATGGCCAGCAGGACAGTGCTTTGAACAGGACCAGAGGATAGAGAAGCAGCACTGGGGAGTGGGCCTTGGAATAAACAGGCACTTAGATATGAATTGGCCACAGTGAATGGGGCACCACAGGGCTCTCACATTCTCACTGCTACTCTGGAAACAGCCAAATTATTTCACATGTCTGCTTCCTGCTCCCAAAGACTGGTTTTGTCTACTCAAACATCCCCACCACTTGCATGTGCACACAGAAAATTCTATTTCTCCACACTTATTTTCAATTCTCTTTGTGAGATGCCAACTTGTGTGCTGAGCTTCCAGAAGCCTGGCTCCATGTCCCCTTGGCAGCCTCTTTCCCTACTCCAGTCTGAAGCCACTTGTGAGTAGGGTGTTTAACCTCCAGAAAAGATTCCCTTCCTTCCACATGCCTTCTTCCCACCGAGGCTGTTAACAATGCTGGTCCTTTTCCAGTCAGTTGGAGAGCTGGTGTCTCCAACCACCATTTGCAAATTAATTACTTTTACTTGGTCACTGATCACCTGCTACTGTCACAGTGGAGGCACACAGGCCACTCTCCTCCCTGCTGACAGATGCCTTCCTATCCCTGAGCAGCCTCCTGTCTTCCTCACACCGGGAAAAGCTCCTGTGCTCTGGAACCTGACTGCACCTGCACAGCAGGAGTTCTGTTTGCTGCTCAAAAAAACCTTGTTTGAAGTGTAAAGCAGATGAAGCAAGTCCCTCAGATTGTTATTTCCAAGCTGCTCATTAACCAAGCAGCTAAGCTGGAAGTCAGAGGGTATACAGGTTTGGTTCCAGGCAGGGCAGTGAGGTAGAGCTACTCTATGGCTGCAGGAGGACAGAGAGGTCAAGGAAGGCAGTACAGAGAGAACAAAGTGGATTCCCAGCTGCTCCCTTATTACCAAGCTTTTTGCTATGTTGATGCTTTTCACTGCATACAGATGCCCTTAGGGACAACAAAGTAAATAATGGCAGCTGGAAGAGCCACTGGGGAAGGTATTTGCTCCCAGGAATGTTCAGCAGGACAGTTTTGCAGAAGGTGTGTTAGGACCCTTCCCACACCAGGGGTGAGCCTTGACACCATGTAGGATAAAACAGAGCATTTAATGTTACCAGCCAGTAACAGCATCTGTTATTTTGATGTCCAGTGCTGCCTCCTCTTGCTTCTGCTCCCAGCTTCAGACCTGCAAGGACACTGTGCTTTCTTGGCCTCACTTTCCTCCAGACTCCAACATCTTGCTTCCCACACAGATAGCATAGCTGCCATGTGCTGGCCTCTTGTCCTGTCCCTGAACTCTGACCTCCTTCTTTACCTCATCACTGGGAGTTACTTCTCACTTGTCTTCCCTTTTTTTCCTTGCCTTAGATTACCCCAATGCTGATCACAGATTTTTTTCCCTCTCCATGAATTAAGCACTGAGTTCAACACCCACTAATAGAATTTCACAACTCACCTAGTTTCAAACACAGTTTGCAGGGCTGAGTTTACACCATGCAGAGCCCCAACAAAATTTAGCTGTGGGGCACCATAGTTATCATTCAAAGGAAATCAGGTTTGTCAACTTTCTATTCCCTTTATCTCTCCTGAGGGCCCATCCAATCCAAGTTTCCATCCCAGGGCTCTCACCCTCACTCCTCCCCTGCTCACTGTGCTTTGCAGGGCTGTGCTTACTGCTCTCCACATCACAGCGCTGCTCTCAGCCTGTGTCTGGAGCGGGAGTTGCTGCTTTGAGCCCCCAGTGCAGAAACTGCTCCACAACAGAGGAAACTCCCGTGGGCAGACTTGTACCCCCAGCATGCAGGAGATGGTCCCAGGCTGCTTGCAGCCCTGCCAAAGAGGGCCAAGCCACCTGCCCTGTACACCGGGCTGGCCAGGAGCCCTGCACAGCTGGTGTGTGGTTAACAGGCGGCACAGAAAGGCTGCTTGGGCCAGCTCCATAGGGCTCGTGCAAGCACAGGGGCCCAGCCAGCTCCTGGGATTGCCTGTGCCTAAGGCGGGCTCTGCTGGCTTGCTATATTAGCCTTAGTGGAGCCTGAACAGAATAACATGATGAAACATGTAATTAAGATGGAGCTAAGGATGCATGACGAGGCCGACTGAGCGAGAAATGGATTTGATTTTTTTTTGTCTCCTTGCAGAAATCATCCACTTCAGCAGGAAACTACCCGTTTGGATTTTTATAAGCCTGAATTAAAAAGAAATTACTTGATACAAATAAAAATGTTTATAACCTGCAACCTCCTTTACCCAAAGCATTGCCTTTTTCCCAGAATAAACATATCATATACATATAAAACATAGTGCTCTCTTTTAAACTGCTACTCCAAAAATTAAAGGGCCACAAAATGGTGCCCCCCACCCACCCACAGAGTGAGAATGAGAAGGGGTAGACCCATCCCCTTGTAGGTATCTGCCCCCGATCATGTCTCCTGCCTCCCTGGCACAGCTTTGCTCCTCTCTGTAGTACATTCTCCAGAGCTTTGCTTTGTTTAGTTTAAATGATTAATGCAGCAGAGCTCACAGGGTTTCCTCAGAGACTTTTCCAGCCCTTATAGACCTCACAGAAAGAAAGGTTTCCTAATATTCAGGCAACATCCTTCTCTACTCACTTTCATTTTATTCCTCCTTGTTGGTCCCACAGATCACAAGAAAAAACAAAAACAAACCCTTCCTTTCTTAGTGGAGCAGCTATCCCATGGGAGTAAAAGGAGAAAAAGGAATCCATTTAAAATGGAGCTGGACAGGTTGTAAATGGGATTAGGAGCCATAGTTACTTGAGGTAGCTGAGGTCTAGGCCTGACATTTCAGGGGAGCCACTTCAATCCTACTACCTATGACACTGTGGCTATTGGGCTCAAGGGGTGGGAGCAGTTAACATTCCTAAGTGTGGGAAATGGAAAGGAGATCCTATACAATGGAAAGGGAAATGCTTAAAAAAGAAACTCCTTTTACTTTCTCCTTGCCCATTTCCCCCTGCTAGCTAGTGTGCCTGCTCAGGACTGCTGCAGTCTGTGACACTGGCACCAGTGAAGGTGCCACAGCAGAAACTCAAAATAGCTGGGGGCTGTTCAGGGGATCATGTCTTTGCCCCTTTCCTGAGCTGTCATTCTCCAGCTGGGAAGGGATGTCCTTGTGACACTCTGCAGTACAAAGTGGGGCTGAGAGTCCCTCTTCCTTCCCAACTTTTGGAGACCCTTCTACCTCTTCCACCGGGAACCCTCCTTAGCCCCACACTTGCTGCTCTGTGCTGCTGGCAGAGGGAAAGGTGCTGCTCAGCAGGGCATGGGTCAAGGCTTGGGCACCGGGGAGGTCACAACTGGGATCGGGATGAGATGGAGACATACCCAGTCCTGAGAGAAGCTAAGCAGGGAAAGGTCACCAAGACCTTGGCTGGTATGAAGATATTGCTTATGTTCACATCATGATACTAGCATTGTCTGTACCATGGCAGGGAAAGGAAGGGTTGTACCATGATGTGGACAGAAGAGATGAAGGGTGATTCTGGTACTCACATCATAGACAGGAGGTGGTGGTGGTGGTGGTGGGCTGGCCGAAGGGAGCTGTGTTTCCACCTTCAGGATATTTGGCTGGCTCCTTCTAGGGCACAACACCTGCTCAGGACAAGACACCAAATGACACGTTTGGAGAATGTCCTCAAAGCTAAAATGGACACAGTCATATCAAAACCAGCTGTTTGCACACCTCCTGAATGCTTCCACAAGAAAGAGTCTGCACAACATGTGCTGGTTACTTCATCACTGCATGGTTAAGTGTAGAATCCAGTGACTTACACTGGAGCAGTGGAAAGGAGAACTGGGCTCTGTGTGTACATATAAAGCATTTTCACCACTGAAACCTTGCTGGCTGAAGGGTGTAAGTATTGAGCAGCACAAAACAATGCTAGAGAGCAGGGAGTAAAGCAGGGCACTGGTCATAGTGCAGAGAGGAATTTCAGAGAGGCAAAATGCAATTTTATCAGGATTTGGCAGGGAAGCTTTTCCTAATACACAGAGTCTACAGAAGAGCACCAGGCAATCATTAATGGTGACATATAGCCAAGTGATACATTAATGCACAAGTCCAGCATGGAGTTGAAGGAAGAAGACACTTCATCTGAAATGTTTCTTGCATCAGATGAGTTCTCCTTGAACACATTCCATTGACACACAGAGAAAGGGTTAGCCCTGCTCAGCAAGAGAAGAGGCAGAAAAGGCAGAAGGCTTTGCTAAGTATCTCTGTTCTAATTCAGAAAGAAGTGGGATGATTATATTCACATCACATGAAAACGACAAACTGCTTTCCAGTCCATTAGTAACTAAGGAGGATGCTAAATAGCTTCTCTTAAAGATAAACATTTTTAAACCAGCAGGTCTGAGCAAGCTGTGGTGAGAAATATGGGTTGTGTTCTGCAGGAGGGCAAATGTAATGACTGCACAATCTCTTCAGACCCCAAGGAGAGGCCATAAGTCTGAGATTTGCTGGCCCACCTCAAAACTCAGAGATGCCAAATTGGTGAGTCGTGACAGTGCCTCCCCTCTTCATCCCCACAGAGACACTGTCTAGGCACACAGAGATGGGGGCCTGTCTCCAGCCAACTCCCTTTGCCTCTTACACTCCTTCCCCCACGTCAGACTGCCTGCAAGGTAAGTCTCACGAGATTAGCTGGGCTGCCAACTGCTGCCATTCTGTTTTCAACCTCATGATCTCTGACTGTGTGTGCTGAAGCCTGATGCTCCTTGGAGTTGAAGGACTGTACATGCAGCACAGCCTCCACATAAAAAAGCATGCAGAGAGTCTGCTGTTGTGGTAGCAGAGAGCAGCTTCAAGGAGTTATGGAGTGTACTCTGCCTAGAAAATAACAATGCCAAATTCCATTCTGAAAGAGGTAAGGGTATTTTTAAGCCAGCCTTGAGATCTCTGGCCGAATGCAAATTATGCTGTTGGAACACCTGAGGCAGCAGTAATAGAAGCAATAGGCTTTCCCCAAACAACAGGGATTGCAATATCATGAATCCAGAGGTTTTTCCTCAGGGTCCATCTCATCCAGATCTTCCAGCTCTGCTTTTGGCTTTTCTTCTCCCACTCTCCAAATCCTTTCTCCCCCACTCCTGGTATCCCCTTGGCTCTCAGCATCCCAGATTCCATTTTCTTATCCAGCTGGTCCCAACCTGGGACACTAGTTTGCTCACCCAAGGGGCTCTGTCAATCCAGTCTTAAGACCGTTCTAGAGCTTCCTCACTCCAGATTCCAGTCCCAGTTTCCATCCTGAGGCTCATTCTTCCAGCCTCATAGAATCACTGCTGATGGAAGGCATCCCTGGAGATTGCACAGTCCGATCCTTGTCTCTCTATCATTTCTTTTTTTCCCCCCAGTTAATTGTAATTTTCACACAGGCTTCCTATGGGGATCCTTGTCCTGACCTTCCCCTCTCACTCTGTCTCCTAATGCTTCCTCTGCCAAACAGATGCCCAAGGCTTTGGTCCCCATCCCCATTACAGTGCAGAGTTTTTCTTCTATGGTGCCCAAGCTCAGGAATGCAGCTGCAGTCTCCTTGAAACAGTTTCCTCCATCTTGAAAGAAAATTAGAAATAGGGAAAGTCCTGCCATCAGGATTGTAACAGATTTGCTCAGGTGTACAGGACATTACTTGTCTAACTGGCCCTTTCACAGGGGTTTTAGACAACTGAACTGGTAAATCAACAAAAGCCATGACTGAGTATGCACAAACTGCAATTTTCAAAAATCCCATCACAAGGCTACATCTTCTTGGATATTCTCAGGACCAGCACACTGCTAGTGTGACTTCTTGCCCTGTGTCAAATCCTTGCTCTAAAGCAGAGCATGCTGTAGTCAAAATAATTGCCAGAATTTATTTAATGGGCAAATCACTTACTCATTCTGTCTTTCCTGTAATCTTTTCTTCTCAGAAAAAGTGAACTTATAAACTGGATCAGACACCCAGCATGGAAAATTTCAGCATGGGGACTTCCAATTCATTGAAGCTAGAAACAAATGGAATTAATTCCTAGTATGGGTCAGGCATTGCTTTTTATTTGGTTATTACTTGCCTTTCTTTTCCATAGAAGCAGAGCTGTTGCAGTGATGCTCAATACAGCAAGAAGAACAGTAAGGGTAATGAGGATTTCCCACCCATAAGAGGTATTTATGTATCCTGTATCTGTAAGAAAGAATGCAAAAGGTTCACAGTGTGAGTGGAAGTTATAACCCTGCTGTTTTGTTAACCCTGGAAAGACCCTTGAGAAAACTAAAATACCAGAGTGCAGAATATGGTGGCAGAAATGCACACACCCTTCAAAACATACTCTGACTGAACAGAGAGCAAGGGTGCAGCTGCAGAAATCACACAGAAGATGCAGGGTATAAGCTGCTCCACTTCACAGAGGGAGGTGACATAATTATGAAAGACAAGAAATTTGGTAGATAGAGGCTTTTGTGGCAAAGGTCTTTTGTGATAGAAGCAGAAAGACAGGTGGTGGAATGCACACAGGCCACATGAACTGGGAGGATGAGCACTGTAGGCATACTCTGACCAGTATAACAAAGCTACTTCGTCACAGCTCTTTGCATATACATTAACAAGTTCTTCATACCCATTGATATTGGATATCAATATTACTGATAATATTGATTATCAGTAATGCATATCCAACCAGTCAGCAGCATGCACATCCTTATCACATTTCTTTAACATTCCTCTTATGTTGCATCAAGCTTTCCACTGCTTTCCAGAGTGCTCATTAACAGACCAACCAATTCCTTGTACCAAATGGAAAAGAGGGAGGCATGTCAGTGAGGCCATAACCTGTTCATGAGTCCCTAAAACTGAGCATGCTGAACCTGTACAGGCGATTACAGCAGGCACCCTGATGACTGACCTTATCAGCTGCCTCTGTCACACTGCTGAAGGACAAACCACACTGTCTCCAGAACACTGACACCTAAAAGCACCATCTGACCTAGTTGCCAGGCTCCCTGGACAGATTTTGACTCCCAGGAAGCTGTGGCAGGGCAGATATAAATTACTGCCTCTTCATGTCCCCATCTCTGCATTGGGAACAGCCCCAGAGGTCACCTGTGCCAAGTGCATTCAACCCTGATGGCAGTTAGTATTGGGCATTAAGCATTATTCATACCTGACTTCATAGCATGTGTGGATAGACAAAAAGAAGAGCAAAGATCAGGTTTTCATAGCCAGATCCAACTGATTTTTAACCTCCTGCCCTTCCTTTCTGGTTGGTCACTTACCTCTAACAAGGATGAACACTCCCTTTCCCATTTTTTGGATATCATTCCATTTGACCATGCAGTAGTACGTGCCAGTTGAAGAGGTGTTTTCAAGTGGCATGATTTTGTGGTCATAAGATAAGGCAGCAGTCTTATTCTCTTCTCCAGAAGGAATGGCTACGTTTTCCAGCCTAGTAGAGATAGATGTCTTCTGATCCAGTGAATTAATCCGGTAGTAGCAGATTGAAAATTTGGTGTATTTCGGCATGTAAGGGAAGATGACTTTGCAGGGGATGGATGTTCCTTCCTTGAGCAGGGCAACCTGGATTGGAGGTTTCTGCTGTACATCAACATTTCCCCCTGCAAGGGTAATAATTGTTAGCAGTCACCTAATCTCACTTTCAGTGAGGAGAGGATGTCTTCCCCAAAGACAGGATCACTCTAAAAATAACCATACCCCAGGAAGCATGCCTGTAGCATGCAGTGTTGGCCCTTGTCAGAAGCTGAGTGATTCAGAGCACGTGCTCTGTGTGATCTGCCACATCTCTTGGGTAATTGCTGTCTGATCCATGATAGCCTGCTGCATTCACAGGCTTCCCCTTTTCTCTTGTGAGCTCCTCCACACAATGCCAGCACGCAGAAAGACAGGAAATGAAGCAGGAAGTGAACTGATTTTGCAGTGGTGTATGAACGTATTTACAGCAGGTGAATAGAAAGCAATTTTCTGAGATAAATTCTAGCTGGACATCTCCTGAAACTCCCAAGCTATAAACCTCACTTGGGAATCTACGTGTGGCCGTGTGATGGCTCTGTGGTAGTGAAGGCAGGTGTTATCAGTGGGATTGTATGTTTCTGAAAAGCAAGTGAGGAAGGAAGTTGCATATTCCGTAAAGGGGCCAGCACCAGGGCCACCAGAAATAAGCCACAGCTTAATCACTCCAAACCTTTGCTGCTCTAAAACAGGAGCAAAGCACAAGCCTCAATGTTAGCCATAGGAACTACCTACATATGACTGCAGATCTTAACTATTTATACATGACAGTATCTTAGGCAGAGATGAGAGCATGCCCTTCATGCGCTTCGTCCCAATACATATAAGGCAGTTTAAAGTGATCTATCACTGTAACTCAGTAGACAATGATGCCAGAAGTTAAAAGAGAGGACAAATAAGATGGACAAATAGCCACACCGCAGTTTTCCCTGTTTAGTTTAAGAAAAAGGAAAAAAAACCTAAGAGTGAGCCACAGGCTAAATAAGGAGACTGGGGTACAGGACTCCTTTGGTTCCCAGGCAAATCTGGGTTCAATATCAGGCAGTCTCTGGATCTGTTTGTTTGTCAGCTGATATGACACCACATATAAAGCAACTTAAGAGGAGGCTCTTTGAGAAAGGGAACTGGAAACTTACAAGTCTTCTCACAAAATTAAGGATTCTTTCTAAAGACATGTGAAAAGAGAAGAGGGAAAAAGGGTAGAGAGAGAAAGTAGGGGATGGACAGGCTTTTCCATTTATGCTTTAGATGGGATTTCCTGGAGTTCTGCATCTATGAACAGGCTCATAACAAGGTATTAAAGCTGTCCCAGAGCACAGTCAGGCTCGCTTCTCTGTCACTATGGGCTAACGCTGCATCACAACAGCAGCATCACATCGGCACAGTGGGAGCTGGCATTGGAAAAGGCAACTCAGACTTAGCACTGCTGAATGCCGAGCACTGAGGATTTGTGGTGGGGGACAATAATGGAGAGGGGGCACAGTTACTGCCCAGAAAAGGACTGTTGGGAAGTACCATATGTTAAGGAAAATTCTCTACAGATCACATATCCAGGGACAACAGCCTGACAGTAAGGATGAGCTTAGGTCACAGCACCAAAAGAAAGGTTCTTGGCTGCAAAAGCAACTGAGATACAGTCCTCAGGGACATGCTCAGTCCTGCGTACGCTAGTTACAGTATTATTGGAAACGTGGTAACAAAATCCTGCAGACACTGTGGGAGTGATAACCCAAGTGGTTTATTCTGGGCCATATTTTTCAAAATCATTCATCATCCTTCTCTCATCTCTACACAGCAGAAGACACATGAATATAGTTTCTATGTAAGACACAGCTAAGCACTACTGTAACAAAAGAGAGGAGAGATCCATCTTGTATTATCCCAGAAGACACGAGGTTGAAAAGAACATACCAAGGAAAAAGTCAAGCCATTTTATTTAGGTTCTCTAACCCTTCTCCCATGTTCCCCCTTTCTTAAGGATTCACTCTCTCAGCTTTGAAATGCTTAAAAGACAGAAATAGCAGCAGCGTGCAAATTCCTAGAGGGGATCTCTGAAAATTAGCAAAAGATAGCAGCTGGAAATGCTCTAGTATGAAAAACATGAGAGTAAACAAAAGGAATTAAAAACAAAATATTTGTTTACCTCCACATTGAAGCAACCAAACAAACAGGAAGATGATTTTTAGATTAGGGATCATGACGGGGGGTCAAAGGCTGTAAGAACACAACCAGACACAAAGATCCAAAAGGCAAAGGAGATGGGGGTTTGTCAGGTATTTTCACGCCAGGGCAGCTGGCTGATCCCCTCCTGTTTGTGAAGGGACAGGCGGGATGTACACACACTGCATTTGGCAAGCAGTTCCTGGCAGATGCAAGCTCTTCTGCTTTTCGGTCAGACTCCTCCCCACACCAGGGTTTGTACATTCTCTGTACTACAGCGATGGTGTTAGACCTACCAGCGAGTGTCCAAACGCTAGACTGCAAGCAGTTTAACACGCAGATCTTTGCTCCCTGATGACTGTAAAATATCTCATGCATTTAAAACAAACTTTGTCACCTTCCACACTGACATGAAAACTCAAGTGATGGATCACCTGTTTTGCCTCCAACACAGAAAACCAGTACACACATGAGTAGTCAGTACAGAGCAATGGCTCTTCTGTACCCCTGACTCCACAAAATGGCCCTCCACAGCCAACTTCTCACTAGGTCCTTTCTGAGGAAGGCACTCACATTCACAGAGTGACAACAAACCAGACAGCAAATTCGTTCTGAACAGCTGGACTATTTCAGATCCACACCGTGCTGGCTCTGAATCAGCTTCGCAATGCAGGCAAGCTTTAAGTAACCTATTGTAGGCAAATCTAAGGAGAGCCCTTTGATGAAGAAAAACCACGTTTTGTGGGAGGCTCCTGCCGCCTATACTCACAAAGAGTCTTTGATTTTCAATGAACGCTTGTTTTTAGCTAAGACATCTGCAATGCAACAACTGAGCAGCATCTGACTCATAAAAACTCCTGTGGCTGAGAGGTCTTCACTTCTCTTTAGGCAGCTTCCTCCTTTCACACGTCTTGTGAGACAATTGCACTGTCCACAAGAAAGCACTTTGCTGCAGCTTCAAGGGTGCCCACTCACATGGGGCGCTGTGCTACAGAGACTGGTGGTAGATGGCCATGTAGGGAAAGACTGAAGGCAGCAGATCAGCCTGTAAGCTTGGTGCATTCAAAAGCACTATCAGTTGTTTTATCCCTCCAGATTTTGTAGGAACAAGGTTTCCTCCAAACAACCTTTGGTTTACAGCATTTTTCCTCCTGTTCAGCCTGGGACAGGTCCCCAGGAGGAAGGGGTCTTGACACAGGGGAAGGCATAGCAGCTGCATGATGCTCAGAGATGGCCCCAGTACCTTGCTGAGAGCCCTGACAGATGGGGATAGGAGAAAGTGGCTTTGTGTGGCTTTGCAAGGCTGGTGCAGCAGCTGCACTCCTCCAGGGAAGGTTTAGCTCAGATTAACCAAAACCAACTCCTCTCCCCAAGACATGCTGATGTGAGCTGCACGGGGCTGGTCTCAGCTGGAAATCACTCCTCACAGGTCTTAATGCTGAGCAGCAAGGACAATCAAAAGCGGTAACAAGACACTTGGGGCCCACTTGGTATTTCAGATATGGAGGCACAGATCAGGCAGCTGTGGCTTTGGGGTTACAACAGTATTCTGCAGCCTTTCTCAGGCCTGAACAGCATCTCAAGGTAGTCAGGGCAGGGAGGGAGAAGGAAGCAGAGGCTCACTACTTTCCTGTGGAAGAACTCTGCTGAATAGTGAGGGTTTCCTCAGCTCTTATATCATGTTCATCCCCATGGTAGCACACAGCTTTGTAATTTCCAGTATTGATGTATTTCTAGAGGACAGAACATGAAGCTCCTGCCAGTGATGTGTTTTAACTGTTATCGGCATTTATCTGCTTCAGGAATTCAGGGTGATAAGTGGATTAAGTGCGGTAGGTTTGTAGGGCTGCTAGGTCAACATCGTCCTTCCGTCCTTTCTGTTCTCTTCCTATAAACAACCCTGTTGCCACTCGAAATGCCAAGTCCTAGAAATATCACTGTCTGGAATTAAAAAAAAAATAAAAAATCTAGCATTTCAAAAGAGATCACACATAAGACTCAGCTGTGGGATTAAAGGCACAGCCAGGCCAGAAATACATTCACTGCTGGGATTTGCTATGGTAGAGCTCACTGAAAAGAAATGGCTTTGAAACGACTACCCAGCAGCTATTAACTGCGAGACAGGATGACATTCTGTTCCTTAGAGCCTAAAGGGAGCCTGAATCTTTGAATGTTAAATTCTAATTCAATTTGGTCTGGGGATTCTGAACTGAGTTTTAACCCTGGAGACATAAATGGGAGGAAGATGAGGAAAAGCTGGGGAGTTGCTATTACCAGCCTGTAGCAGGACTGAACTGATCGCCCTAAAACTTAGGTGGAACTAACCAGGATACCTGTGCCAAAGGACATAAATTAAGAAGCTCCAAAGGAATAGGTCATTGTATGGCCTTCACTCATGCATTATACAGTACATCATCGGTGCATGTGAGCCAGTCCCGGCAGCATGGTGAGGGGGAACTGCCTGGCCAGTTGTAATCCCACCACAGCACTGACTGGCCAGGATCTGTATGGCTTGGTCCTTCCTTTGATGCAGCGAATGCTGACACTTCCTGAAATTAAATAGAGGATTGGGGTAGATTCAAGACAGTTTCTGCCTGTAGCTGAAAAGTGGCTATTAATTTCACTCAAGCACTTTAAAAAGCCCACCATAGTGGCCAGCATTCCCAACGGTGAGGAAAAGCACGTTGTTCTGGCATGCACCACCAGCAAGTTTGGGCAAGTGCAGAACCTACCAGAAGTGCCGGTTCATAGCTGCGTCCAATGTACACCCACAAGTCCAGGCACACACATGCTCACACACGAGCCCACACATGCCCCCACAGCCAACTCCAGGGAAAGCATTAATTCAAACAAAAAGGCTGCTGCTAGCCAAGGCAAAAGCAATGCTGCAGAGACCACAACAAAGCCTCTTTATTGCTGAAGCGTTTAGCACCACAACCATCCAAAAGAGGAACACCACTTGGCGCACAGAAGAGCTGCAGCAACTCAACGAGCCTGATTGCACAGAGCGTTTCAGAGCATTCCCCAGCACGGCAGCTCTGGGTTTGCTGCCTTGTCAGAGACCAGCTCAAACCCCCATCGCTGGAAAGCCAGCCAGCGGCAACATGTGCACCTCTGAGGATTCACAATCTCTTTGACTCCTCTAACCCCAGACTCCAAGGCGTACAGTTTCCCTGTCTGGCGGCAGGAGTGATAGCAGAGCCAGTGTGAGCAGGGCCGTACCTCTGCCAGCATTTTTACCACTGCTGTGTGTCGAGTGCCTTCCAGCAGGGCTGGATGATGCTGAGGTAAAAGCTGCCAATGCCCTCGCTATGTTTCTATCCACTGAACTGCTCCAGGGAAAAGAATGATCAGTGACTTGATGGGAATACAGAAAATTAGAGGTGTTGACACCACCGTGGGGAAGGGAGGGGACAGTTCTCTAATTCCTTTTCACCAGCAAAACAAGTCTCCCTCAGGAATCACCTACTGCTTTTTCTCTGCTCACCTTGTGGGAAGATTCCCAGGGTCTAAGTTACCACCACAGGTCTGGCACACTCTTATGGCCGTGCCTCAGCCTCGCGGTGCTCCCACCCGTTCCTCCTTGTGTGGCAAGTTGTGGCCAGCGGGAATTTGCCTGGCGGGAGAGCTTTGCCTACTCAGGGTGACACCTTCCAGAAGAACATCTACCTGGCCGGGCCCGGGGCTGAGGCTAGGCCAGGCCACAGCGGGACATGTTAACTCCGCCTGATCCAGGGGGTTAAATCTCCCCGCGGGCAGCCCTCCCCCCGCCCCTGCGGGAGGCTGAGCCGCGGACACCGAGCCCCGGCGCGGCCGTGCCCCGGCGGGCCGGGCAGGGA